AACTTAATCAATAAGTGTTATGTGTGTTCTGACTGCTCCATTAACTGGGCCTTCCCCCATCTCTCTCCTCCTCCTCGGGCCTCCCTGTTCCCTGAAACACACACCATTGAAATCAGGCCAATTAATAATCCTCCAATGGCCTCTCAGTGTTCAAGTGAAAGGAAGAGTCACGTACCTCTCACTTTAAATCAAAAGCTAGAAATGATTAAGCTTAGTGAGGAAGGCATGTCAAAAGCCTAGATATGCCAAAAGCTAGGCCTCTTGTGCCAGTCAGCCAAGTTGTGCATGCAAAGGAAAAGTTCTTAAAGGAAATTAGAAGTGCTACTCCAGTGAACACAGGAATAATAAGTTAAACAGCCTTATTGCTGATACAGAGAAAGTTTATGCCTGGATAGAAGATCAATCTAGGCACAATATTCCCTTAAACCAAAGCCTAATCCAGAGCAAGGTCCTAAGTCTACAAAGTCTAAGAGAGGTGAGGAAGCTACAGAATAAAAGTTGGAATCCAGCAGAGGTTGGCTTATGAAGTGTAAGGAAAGAAACCATCCCCATAACATAAAAGTGCAGGTGAAGCAGCAAGTGCTGATGGAGGAGCTGCAGCAAGTCATCCCCATCTAGCTGAGGTCATTGCTGAAGGTAGCTGCACCAAACAACAGATTTTCAGTGTAGATGAAACAGCCTTCTATTGGAAGAAAATACCATGTAGGGCTTTCATTGCTACAGAAGAGAAGTCAATGCCTGGATTCAAAGCTTCCAAGGATAAGCTGACCCTCTTATTAGGAGCTAATGGAGCTGGTGACTTTAAGTAAAACCAATGAGCATTTACCATTCCAAAATCCTAGGGCCCTTAAGAATTATGCTAAATCTACTCTGACTTTGCTCTAGAAATGGAACAACAAGGCCTGAATGACAGCACATTTGTTTATAACGTAATTTACTGAATGTTTTAAACCCATTGCTGAGACCTGCTGCTCAGAAGAAAAGATTCCTTTTAAAATATGACTGCTCATTGACAGTGCACCTGGTACCCAAGAGCTCTGATGGATATGGACAATGAGATTAATGTTGTTTCCAAGCCTGCTAAACAGATTAATGTTGTTTCCAAGCATCCATTCTGCAGCTCACATGGGTCAAGGAGTAATTCTGACATTCAAGTCTTATTATTTAAGAAATACATTTTATAAGGCTTTAGCTGCCATTCATAGTGATTCCTCTGATAGATCTCCATTAAGTGAATTGAAAACCTTATGGAAAGGTTTCACCATCCTAGATGTCATTCATGGTTCATGGGAAGAGTTAAAAATATCAACAGTCACAGGAGCGTGGAAAAAGTTGATTCCAACCATCCTGGGTGACATTGATGGGTTCAGCACTTCAGTGGAGGAAGTAACTGCACAAGTGGTGGAAATAGCAAGAGAACTAAAATTACAAGTGGAGCCTGAAGATAATGACTGAATTGCTTCAATCTTAGGGTAAAACTTGAGTGAATGAGGAGTTGCTGTTTTTGGATGAGCCAAAAAAGTGGTTTCCCAAGTATAGTGTAAACATGACTTTATATGACTGGGAAACCAAAAAAATTCATCTGACTCACTTTACAATGCTCACTTAATTGTGGTGGTCTGGAACCAAACCCACAATATCTTTGAGGTGTGGCTGTACTCATCTCCCTTGTTCAATACATGTATTGGGAAAAGTGGATTGGCAAAATCACTGTCATATGGGGACTGTAGAAGGCAAGGCTCCTTGGTTGGAGAGTTATTTGGGTCTGAGGGTTGTACACATGCTCATGGGTCCCTTGCCTGTCACTTGATGCATGCCAGAAGAGGGCCTGGTGCCTGCCTTCGAAAGCACCACACATCAGGACCCAACTCATCTAAGTGGCCACTATTTTTCTCACTCTCTGAATGAATGGGTGTCTGGCAATATGCAAGCCTGACAGAGGCTGGAGGAAGAGCTCATTCTTTCTCTCTTACTATGGACTTTCCCTGGCAGCCAAGATGCTAAGATGGAGAAAAGCAGACCAGTGGCTACTGCAGAAATGCATTGGTGGAGTCAGAGGGATGTGGCGCTTCTGCACCTACCTCAAGGGCAGTGCAGGTGGGTTCTCAGAATTGCTCCTGGGGCCTTTGCAAGTTCTTAACAGGTTCCAGGGTACCCTGAGTACTTAGCAACTGTTATTTATGTCTATGGTAAATATAAAAATGTGTTTTACTGTACATTGGGCAAAAGTCTTTGAAAATTGGGTTCCATTATGTAGGTCAGGGCAAAAGTAATCAGACCCTTTCTTCGTTGGTGGCACATCTGGGGGTAGCAGCTGATTCTCCTCCCCCAACCATACCACTTCCTTTATTCCCCCAACCAGTTCCTTTATTCACTGAACAATGTTCACAGAGCACCACTGTATGGCAGCCACTTTCTGGTGGGTGAGGATACAAAGGTGAACAAGAGCTCTACCTCCCCACTTCATAAAGCTGCTGTGGTGGTGGGGAGATGGACAAGGAACAAACAAATAAATAAATCCCTGCAGCAAAAGTGTGGGGATGCACTGCTTTCTGTTCTATTGGATCCAGGAGTTGATGAGTGCTGGGAGGCCAGCAGCCAGCACTGGAAGACACTCCACTTCAGTAATGCTAAGTTTCATTCAAAATCCTGCATCTCCAGGGAGCAGGTATGGAGGAACTAGATAATATTTTAGTTTGTCACTTGGACTTTAGCCCTGGCAAAATTGTAAAAAAAAGGAATGTAGTGTTTGGCACCTATTGGCTCCAATGTCCTTCTTATGGCTGCTTTGGGTTCACAATCTAGGAAATGTTCTTGTTCTTCTGATCATCATTTATTTGGACAAAACTCAAATGTCTCATGATCCATCCACAGAATCATGCAGTTTCACTTTAGTGACTGTTTTTCTAACAACAAAAAATGTCATAAAAGATCCCTCTCCATTAAGTCCCTTCTCCCCGTGCCTCCCATCCACTCCCAACATCAGCATATTTCTGGAGATGAAGCCTTAACTTGAAGGAATGACCAATGGTGATGTGTAAAGCAGTAGGACATACTGGTATGGTTGGGGGAGGAGAATCAGCTGCTACCCCCAGATGTGCCACCAACGAAGAAAGAGGGGGTGTAGCTCTGTGCCTCCCTGTCTGATCTGTAGGTGAAGAGCTGGTGGACTTCTGGATCCTTGCTGAGAAGATCCTGAGCATAGATGAGATGGACCCAGAAGTGAGGAACCATTACCTGTCCCTTCTTCTCATGCTGAAGGCCACCCACCTGCAGGAGGGCTCGAGAGTGGTGACTCTCTGCAACATGAACATCAGTAAGAATGATAAAGCACATCTGAGAAATCCCTGAGAGATGTAGCAAAATAAACCAGTCCAGAGTCTGATAACCCCCAGTTTCCTGCTTTGCAGACTGCCACCCTCTCCATCTTCTATGTATCAGGGATGCCAGTGAGAACCCTAACCCTTAGCAGGGAAAGGTGGAGAGTGGCCAGTTGTCCTTAGGCTGGGATGTGCCTCTTCCTGAGATGTGACTGGCCAGTGAGGGTTGGCTGGAAGGAGTGAAGAAGAGTTAGGACTGGGCAATTGAACAGCTCCTGCATCTTCTGAGACTACACAGCTTTTTTTTTTAATTGAGCTTCTCTAGAACAAACTACAGCCCACAGGCCACAAGCACTACATGTATGTGGCCCACAAAGCCTAAAGCACTTACTATCTGGCCCTTTACAGGAAAAGTTTGCCAACCCCTTCTCTAGAACACCAGATCCATCCAAATTTATTTATGTATTAATTAGGTGAGGAGGAATCCCTAACCCAAATACAAATGAGTTCCAGCAGATTTGCTTTTTGGGTTAGTTATCCCCCTCTCCACTCATACAGACAATGGAGAATTTATGACATTAAGATCAGAGCTAGTAAGGACTCCTTCAAAGTATCCAGTCCACACCCCTTCCTGCAGTCAGATCTGACCCTGGGAAATCCCTTTCAGAGGTACATGTCTCCTGTTCTTAAACATTATTTTCTTGTGCTTTTTATTTTTCTTCACAACATTCAATCATCTAATAATTCAAGGAATCTCACAAAATGGCTATTTAGTGACTGTTTTTCTAACAACAAAAAATGTCATAAAAGATCCCTCTCCATTAAGTCCCTTCTCCCCGTGCCTCCCATCCACTCCCAACATCAGCATATTTCTGGAGATGAAGCCTTAACTTGAAGGAATGACCAATGGTGATGTGTAAAGCAGTAGGACATACTGGTATGGTTGGGGGAGGAGAATCAGCTGCTACCCCCAGATGTGCCACCAACGAAGAAAGAGGGGGTGTAGCTCTGTGCCTCCCTGTCTGATCTGTAGGTGAAGAGCTGGTGGACTTCTGGATCCTTGCTGAGAAGATCCTGAGCATAGATGAGATGGACCCAGAAGTGAGGAACCATTACCTGTCCCTTCTTCTCATGCTGAAGGCCACCCACCTGCAGGAGGGCTCGAGAGTGGTGACTCTCTGCAACATGAACATCAGTAAGAATGATAAAGCACATCTGAGAAATCCCTGAGAGATGTAGCAAAATAAACCAGTCCAGAGTCTGATAACCCCCAGTTTCCTGCTTTGCAGACTGCCACCCTCTCCATCTTCTATGTATCAGGGATGCCAGTGAGAACCCTAACCCTTAGCAGGGAAAGGTGGAGAGTGGCCAGTTGTCCTTAGGCTGGGATGTGCCTCTTCCTGAGATGTGACTGGCCAGTGAGGGTTGGCTGGAAGGAGTGAAGAAGAGTTAGGACTGGGCAATTGAACAGCTCCTGCATCTTCTGAGACTACACAGCTTTTTTTTTTAATTGAGCTTCTCTAGAACAAACTACAGCCCACAGGCCACAAGCACTACATGTATGTGGCCCACAAAGCCTAAAGCACTTACTATCTGGCCCTTTACAGGAAAAGTTTGCCAACCCCTTCTCTAGAACACCAGATCCATCCAAATTTATTTATGTATTAATTAGGTGAGGAGGAATCCCTAACCCAAATACAAATGAGTTCCAGCAGATTTGCTTTTTGGGTTAGTTATCCCCCTCTCCACTCATACAGACAATGGAGAATTTATGACATTAAGATCAGAGCTAGTAAGGACTCCTTCAAAGTATCCAGTCCACACCCCTTCCTGCAGTCAGATCTGACCCTGGGAAATCCCTTTCAGAGGTACATGTCTCCTGTTCTTAAACATTATTTTCTTGTGCTTTTTATTTTTCTTCACAACATTCAATCATCTAATAATTCAAGGAATCTCACAAAATGGCTGATTTCTATGGGGAAGAAGGAAAGTAATCAGAGAAAGGGATCACTGTACACCTAAAATGGGTCCACTATGCAGCTGACCTGCTCACACTCCAGGGTTACATGAGGAGCAAGTGAAATGTTATATACCACATTTGGAAAAATTCAAAAACTTCTCCAACATCCTCCTCCTCCTCCTCATCACCACATCATTTTTTTCATTCTTTCTCTCTTTATATTCTTCCAGAGTCTCTCCTCAACCTCTCCATCTGGCATCCCAACCAGTCAACCACCAGGAGGGAGATCCTGAGCCACATGCAGAAAATGGCTCTGTTCAAACTCCAGAGCTATTGGCTCCCCAACTTTTACACCCATGCCAAGATGATCATGGCCAAGGAGGAATTGTGCCAGGGCCTGAGGCAGGAATATGAGACCCGCCTGTACAGTATTTGCTACAGCCACAGAGGAGGGCTCCCTGTGAACATGAGCATCAAGAAGTGCCACCCCTGCCAGAAGCGGTACTCAAGCAGGAAGACCAAGAGGAAGATGTGGCAGTTACTAGACCATGACTCGTGGACTCCGGAAAGGGATACCAAACCAGACCCCAACACCATGCCTCCCCCGGAGAGAAGTCCTCAGGAGAAGGTCGATATACAACTGCCTTCTCTGAAAGTGGCTTCTTCAAAGGAGAGAACAATCAGTCCCCTGGGAAACGATAATTTCTGTTCCAGGAAGTCCAACATGAAAAAGAAAGCCAAGAGCCATCTCCACATGGAGGGCCTCTTTGAGAGAAAGTTCTCTACCCACTTGAGGTCTGCTACCCCCATCATCAATTGCTGCCCCCAGACAACCAACAAGCACGCCATCAAGCAAAGCCTCTCCTTGAGGCACCTGCACTGGGCCTTGTGCGCTGATGCCTGTGCAGGGAGTCCCTTCCGGGACCACCTGAAGAAACTGAACTTGACAATGGAGGTCCAGCTCTTGGATCTCTGGCAGGACCTGTACCATTTCCTCAGTGTCCTGATGAGTAATAGGAAGACCGGGAATGCCGTCCTTCGGCACATGCTGGGCAACCGAATCTGTGAGCTCCACCTGAATGAGCAGATTGGCCCATGCCTACCACTCAAATCCCAAATCATCCAAGGCCTCAAGGAGCTGCTGCCTTCTGGGGAGGTGAATCCCTGGATTCCCAGAGCCCAGGCGGAGATATGCAAGGTACGCCATGCCTCACAGAAATGGGTTAGCAACTGGAAGATTAGGTCAAAACTGACCAAAAATCCTCTCTGGTCATCTATACTGGCTAGGTTAGTGAGTGTTCTACTGAGAGAATTCCTAAGAATTCTGTTCTATACATGTGTTGAAATGCAGGGCCTCCCCTTCCTAGACTATCCATCAAGAAAATGGCCAGTTTGGAGGGGTTTATTCCTTTCCCAAAACATTAGGTGAAAGCATGGGATTATCCTGAGGACTCATAGGAAATGAGGCCCAGAGTTTGACTATTGTATCATCAAGATCTTGGCAGAAAACAAATGGCAGTCAAGTTAGGCAACAGATGAGAGCCCAATAAAAGGGATGACTTACAGGAAATTGGTCTGAAAACCAGAGGGACAGTGCAGTGCTCCAGGGCCAGTGAGGGAGCATCACCTTTATCACTCCTTGGCCTGAAGAGCTGAGGAGAAGGAGGGGTTACCAGAAAGCTACGAGCTCTGTGAAACGGGACACTTGTCAGGATCTGTAATGTCAGTAGAGGGACGTAGCCAGTCCACAGCGATCTGGCCAGGAGGGGTCAGGGGAGCACATACCCAAAGCTCACTCTCCTCCTGCTCTTTCTTTTCCCATCAGGACTCCTGACTGGATAAATCCAACAAGGGAGCCTGTTGATGGGTCCGTACAGGTCAATTTTCCAAGGCACAAGAGGGCAATGAAGGGTAGAGTAGACCTGGAAGGGCAAGTAGATATAAACAGCATTTAATTAGTGCATTATGATGTATTTACCTTATGAAGCACATTGATGCACATTAACTCTTTTAGGCATCTTAGCACCTCTGAGGGGCAGACAGAGTAGTATTGTCACCACTGCTGGACAATTGAGGAAAATGAGACTCAGAGAGGGTAGTGGAAGAGCCAGGGTCTGAACTCAGGAACTTTTTGCTCTAAGTCCAGCACAGTTTCCAGTACACCTCCACTGTCCAGCGTTGCACATCCGAGCAGTGTAGGACCAGGTCAGTCAAGTGGATCCACAGCCAAAGCTTTCCTTTGCACAATTCTTGGGTAATGGAAGTCCAGAGGTTCCCTGCCCTGTGTGCAGGCATTTGGGGATCGAGGCTTAGACTGGGGCTGTGATTCCTGGATCAGGAAATCTGCACATCAAAGCCCCATGCCTGGGCTTTGGTCTTTAGCAAAGATACTGAAGGTATTTGTGTATAGATAAGGCTGGCCTACCACAGTTTACCAGATTAAAAATCTTGATGTCCTCCTTGACTCACCTCTTTGTCACACACCCGTGTCTAATCTATTGGTGAATGCTGTTGGCTCAACCTTAAAAATATATCCAGAATTTGGTACTTCTCCCCTTCCCTGTCACAACCACTGTCATCCAAGCCCCATCCAGTTTTGTCTGGACCATGACGATGGCCCCTAGCTGATGCCTCTGGGTCTGTCTTGGCCATCAGCAGGCTCATTTCCACACCAGCCACCATGATTCTGCCAAAGCATAAATTGTGTGATTTAACTGAAAATAAATAAAAGGAAGTAAGTGAGGACCTTAGAAACAAGTGATTTTCTATGTCCAGTAAAATCCAAAGTTTTTGCTAAAACTGACAAGGTCTACATGACCTGTCCTCCATGTCCCCTCTCTGACTTCATCTTCTTCAGCCCCTGTGCTCATCACTCCAGCAGCGCCAGGCACACTGCCAGCTCAGCTGAGCTGTTCCTGCTGTGTGTAATGTGCAGATGCCTGCACGGCTGAGTCCCCTGCGCGGGGCTTTTCTCAAGTCATCTCAGTGAGGCCTTCCTTGCCCACTTCAGATAAAATTTCAACCCAATCTCCATTTAACTTTTTCTTTAATACTTATCACCATGTAGATCCATCCATTCTTCCACATATACATGTGTACTTATACTGTGTGTGTATAAAGTACATGTGCAATCCTTACAGTGTACATGTATGCATATGTGTAGACAGTATATGACTGTCATATACATATATAATAGACTTGTATTTTGAATAGATATGTATTTTTTGTTATACATATGTTATATGCATACATATGTACATATTATCTTGCTTATTTTCTTTCTCCCTGTCTGTTTCATTGCTCCTGTCTCTCCAGCATCTAGAACAGGATCTGGAAGTGTAGTGTTCGGCACTCAATAGCACTGATAGACATTCACGCTCAATAGACTTTTGCTGAACCAGTCAATCCCAGATAGCAATGACCCCTCTTTTGACCTTGCTCAGGACTGTATTTTCTACTCTGAGATAAGTACCTCTGTGAGGACTCTGATTTTCTTCCATCTCTTCAACTATCCTCTGATTATCTAATCTTTGTTAAGTGCTGATAGCACGCCCACTGCTATGTCTGTTTCCTGACTTCTGACTCACTGATGTGGAAACACGTCTTCATGGAGGAGAGAGAAACGTTCACGTTCAAGCCTTGGCACTGTCACCCTTTGGCTATGTGGTCTTGGACAAACTCAGTCTAAATTCTTGAATTTCCCTAGGTCTCTTGGTCCTTATATAGAATGACAATATTTTTATTTGTGAGTTTGATAGGCTTATAGATTGATTGAGGATACTCTACTGTAAAAGGCAAATAAGTAAAGAGAAGATGGTGTGAGTATGGAAGACAGAGTATCAGCCTAAAAATCTGCTCTTGGTTCTAACCAAAGAGGGGAGACTGAGAGAAGGTGCTGGAGATGGTAGGAGTAAGGGGTTCCATAGACACTGGCAAGAGACCAACTGGGATGATGAGAAACTTAGCCTGAAGTTCCTTGATTAGATAAAGAGAAAATCTAACAGAGATTCAAGGTTACCAGAAGTTGGAGGGAGGAAAATGGGGAGTCATTGCTTAATGAGTACAGTTTCCACTTGGGTGACAAAAAAGTTTTAGAAACAGTGGTGACAGTTGTGTACCATTATGCATGTAATCACTGCCACTGAACTGTACACTTACAAATGGTTAAAATGACAGATTCATGTTATACATATTTTACCACAATAAAAAAATTAAGAGATAAAGTAATACTAAAGATACAAAGGACATTGAGTTTTAGGGAAGAGAGCAGACAGGAGTGAAATTTCAGTTCCAGCTTCTCCACTTCCAAATCATTTGATCTTAGGGAGAAGGTTGCTGGATCCCTCTGATCCTTATTTCCTCTCTGGTACAATGGTGATCAAATGGCTCCCTCAAAAAAAGACAGTGTGTATGTTATCTGGCAAGTAATAGGTATGCAAATGTTCATTCTCTTCTGACTCCTTATCAGACCCATAGAACCTTAGAATAGGTTCCCTCAGCGTCCCCTCTCATTGTACAGGTGATAGACCAAGGCCTACAGTGTCCCTACTGTGAGCGCAGAGCCATGTCCTGCTCAGTCTATTACGGGGTCAGCAAACCACAGCCTGGGAGCCAGATCTGACTTACACTTGTACTCGCATGGCCAGTGAGCTAGGAATTGTTTTACATTTTTTAAATGTTTGAAAAAATATCAAAAGAAGAACATATCATGACACATGGTTATTGCAGGAAATTCAGGTTTCAGTGGCCATGAATAAGGTTTCATTGGAACACAGCTATTCCCATTTGTTTATATGTTGTTATGTGCTACAACGGCACATGTGAGTAGTTGCAACAAAGACCACATGTGGCCCCCACAGCCTGAACTATTTTCTATCTGGCCTTTTCACACTGTTCTGGTGATAGGCTAGGTTTACTGAGTGATGGACAAATTCAATTCGGAAGGAAAGCCTAATAAATCCTAACGAAACAACTATAGAAAAAAAGATATATATATAAAAAACAAATATTTTTAAACATTTTTAAAAGAAATCATAGAGTTTTTAAATATTTTATTATAGCATTATTACTGTTATTTTGTTGCATATCTGATTATTTCGTCTAATAGAAAATGCTCTATTGGTCATTGCTTCTTATGAAAGCAATTTGATCATTCATTTATCAGGTATTAGATAGTCATAAATCTTTAAAACTGGGAAGGACATTAATAGGGTACTCATTTCACACATGTGTATTATTCATATTTAATATATATATTTAGAGCCTATCCATTAGTCAGTAACATTATATCACATTGTATTTTGCTAGTGCTCAATCATTAAGCTGAATTTTCTTGGGAATACATGTCACTCTGGCTCCCCAGGAGCCCAGGAGATCTGATTAAGTATGAAAACTCATACTCTTAATTTTACCTTTTGGCATCATGAATGAGGTGGTTTTGTGGAGACAATCTTACATTCCTTAAAGGTTATTATTGCCAACTCATTGCCTGCAAAATAATACCCAGACTACTTAGCAACAATACCCAGACTACTTAGCAAGGTGTTCAAGTCCCTCATGTACCGTCCCAGCCAACCTTCACTCCTTCACCCCTTTACCCCATGCCACTGCCCTGCCCCTGCGCTCTTTGCAGGAGAGCTGCAGCTCAGCTATGCTAGAGTACCCATCCTCCTCAAACACGTCCTTTCCCATCGTAGTGCCTTTGCTTAAGCTCCTTTCTGGAATCCCCTTTACCCAGCTAGCATATGGTAAGCCACTTTCTATTCTGCAAGGGGTAAATAAATTCTATGTTAAATCTCCTTGCCTTTATGAATTCTTCCTGGATATCCTGAAATAGCTGTATTTTAGGAATATTGACTTGTCATTTCTTGACATTTTATATTTTTGGATATCAAAACGGAATAATCATTCCCTCCTCTCTGCTCCCAGAGAACCTTGTTCATACCTCTCCCAAAGCATGTGTCCTACTGTTGTCCGTCATGCTAGAAGTTGAGTTCCTTGAGAACAAGGCCTGTTGCTTATTGATCTGTATATTCCCAGCCATTTGCACGGTGCCTGGCATGTGGGAGGCACTCAGAAAATTTTTCTTTGTTTTAATGTAATAAAATATTCTTCACAAGTGGAGCAGTTCCTGAAGTGGGAGATAGTAAGAGTAGACACGTCAAAGGAAGTTGCTCGGTTTTCAGAACCATTTTGAGAGTCAAATGAAATAATACTTTGGAAAGGAGCAAAAGAACATGTAGATGTCAAGTAATTGTTCTTCAGTAGATTACGCATATTCCTAAGTAAATATCGACCACTATTCTCTGAAGTTCAGAGAGAGGCTGCGTGAGGGCTACATGATGACAAATGCACAGAGGCAAAGGAATGCCTCCTGGGTGGTCATGGCTGATGTTTGCTGTTCCATTTTATCTCCAAATTAGAGAATCCAGAATCTGCAGAATCTCCTCTTCTCCCACATGAACACTAGCAGGAGAGATGCAGCAAACTGAGCACTACCTCCTAACACTTACGTGTCATGTTTGGATTTCAGATGCTCAGCACCTGGTATGATGGATTTCTGGAAGATGAGGACTACTGGTTTCTCATTTTTACGGTAGGAGGGACTTTGAGTTGGGGAGGAATCATTAGGTTGAGAGAAGAAAGGAGAATAACAGCTCTTTTAGAAGTCTTAGTTGTTAAAGTAAATGAAATTTTCATTTTTCCTAGAGGGAACTGGGGGTTGACATGGTCTCTGCTGTTGTAAAGATAAACCTCAAGGAAAAAACTCGAGCACATAAGCTGACTTTGAAGAAGTCACATTCATATAGCATATCTCTCTTATGGAAAATGGTTTTGATTAGAAAAGGGAGGGTTGGTATCTAAAGGAACATGGTTCTTAACACATTGAAAACATTCAACATAAGTCTGTGTGACAGGGAGGTACAGGACTTGGGCAGGACAAAAGTCTGGCTTCTGGCCTCCTTCCTGTAGCAAATGCTGTCTGTCCCCATTCCCTTCTCTCAGACTCAGACCGGGTTCATCAGCACCAAGTGGCATAAAAGAGAACCTATAAGCAGAGAAGAGACCATTCTTCTTTATAAGAGGTTTGAGGAGTCCCTGGTGTTAAGCCAGGGTTTGGCTAACATGGAGGAAATGGATTCTATGCAGTGGCAAAAGATAGCCACTGAGGACCTGAGACAAGGCGGGTCTCTCCGGGTAGAACTAAAGTCTCCAGAGCTGCTGACAGGTAAGGGCATCCCCATAGTTTTTATTTGACCCTTACATACAGACAACTGGGAAATATGCATATTTAACACTCAGTGATTATTTACTATATGTCAGCACTGTGCAGTGCAAAGGTGACCTCGTTTGATCTTCAAGTAACATGTGAGTAAGTCCTGGGTAACTAAGGTACAGAGAGCATGAGTGACCTTCCCAAGGTCACATGGTAAGTGGCAGTGCCAGGATCTGAACCAGACTGATGGCAGAGGCCCCTACAGGCACTGGAGGGAGCCGGAGCACTCAAGTTTGGCCAGACTCATGCCCACCAAAGCCACACCACACTTAGACTTTCGTGCATCCAATAGGCATGTTCCGCCTCACCACACCTTCCCAGAATCTGGTCCAAAGATTCTCCCAGAATCTTCTCCTTTCTCCTAATGTGACATACCAACCCACCCAGGCAGTGGAGAGAAGTTATGGAGAGCACAAGGCCCCACTGTCCCAGAGTCTGGGGTTATATTCTAGCTCTACTAGTGACTGTGTAAACTCAGTCAGTGTGTTTAACCTTTGTCTAAGCCCCAGTGTTCTCATCTGTAAAATGGGAATAATAATATACTTGTTGGGAAGATGACCAGAGATCACCCATGAGAGCTATCAACGCAACTTTGGAGGATAGTAAAACTGCAATAAATTTTAGCCATTATTATTCAAATTGAACAAATGGCTTTAATTATGCTGAGGCTGTCAGAGTACTAGAGTATTTCTCAAACTTTGATCCACAATAAATACATCTGACTTCAGGGAACATATACTTGTATATATGTGTGTGCAAATCTATGGGAAAAAACTGTCACAAAGCAATACTTGCACTGATTATGTAAGATGATGTATTTTAATATTCTGTAAAAGAATAGGCATGAAAAGAGTATTTGTAAGAGAACATTTTGTAAAAGCTGGCAATGACTCCATTTATTTTTCAACACACTATTGAGTCATGACACTTTCAAAAAAACACGGATGGAAAAGGAATAAGCCAGAGCTTTGCACACTCATTCCCACCACCCCTTCTCTCTGTGAGTGTGGGCAAGTTACTTCACCTCTCTGAGCCTCATTTCCTCATCTTTAAGTGGGGTTGCTAGCCTCTACCTGGCAGGATTGTTGAGAGGATTGGAGGCATTGCATTTACATAGCAGCAGGTGCTCAACAAGCACACTAAATATTGTTAGAGTACCCTAAAAATGTAACACTCAATTTTCTTAAAATTTTGATGTACACTCCCTATACAAAACAAGATGGCTTGAATGCTTACCTCTCAGAGCTGTGCTGGGACATGAGTTATTTAAATTCACCACGAACAGGCCCTCTGTTTTATCTCAGGGTTTTGCCTTCTCTCTAAATCCTGAGCATTCCAGAAATCAAGAGAAAAGTGGAAGAAATGATTGCTGGTAAATTTCACCACACACATACTGGACAACAGGCATTCCTTTGATGGCCATGGAGTGCCAGGGATGGCCAGGAAGACTGGGAACCACCTCTATGGAGATACCCTCTGCCTTCCCCCAGCACACATCATTACTCCCTCTGGCACTGCTGTTTGGAATGCCAATCTGACCTGATAAAGGGCCTCCTGTACTTTGCCCAACCAAGGGTCTGACTCCCAGATAGGCTGATGCCTCCACTCAGGCTGCACCATAGACTCACGGTGCACCAGAGCTAGAAGGCGCTCAGCTTTCCTGTTGAGAGATGAGTCTGAGAAAGATGAAAAGACTTGGCCAAGGTTGCTCAGCGTGGCAGAGACTGATCTGGGACTAGTATACTGGATCCACTGCTAAATAATCCACCGCTCTTCCCACTTATAGTGGGATACCCCTGGCTGAGAGAGAATAATGATGACAGTGACAATGCTGACATAGGGACAGCTGACATGCACGTGTCCACACCCCAGTGTTCCTTCTAGACTCCACTAGTATAACCTCAGAAAGTACTGGACTGCTCTGGAAAATTCCATGGAGAACTGTGCTTTTAGACCTACTCTAAACCCAGAGCTCTCGACAAAAATGAATGTCTTCATCTCAGAAGGAGGCGAGATACTGCTCATCTGCTTCTACTGCTCAGTACATAGTTAAAACCTCCCTTGTTGCATCAGTTTTACTGTCCCTCTCCACTTAGGATACAAAAAACTATTCCCTCTCAAGTCACCATGCATGACTAGAAGTGATGGATGGCTATTTCTAGAAAAAATAATTCATTCTCAAAGGACAATAATTTGCAATTATTGATGATATCTAGATATAGGAACTGTCAATTCTAAAAGTAATTCCCAAAGACAGAGCCAAGAAATAGAAAACTCCTAGTATGGTATTTGCTATATACTATCCCTTAGTGCATCAAATTCCTTGAAGCAATAGCAGAATATTAGAAATGTATTTACAACTCCTTCCTGCATAGCCTCTTTAAAGGGGTCAACATTCATTTGGATAAATTACTTCTTGTATATGTGGCAATAATTAATTCCTCTTTCAAATCCTATCTCAGCAACCCTAGTATCCCTCAGGCAGAAAATCGCCATGGGTCAGCTATCCAAGAAGCGAGGAATCTGCCTGCTCCAGAGGAGAGGGGAGGTAGTATTTCCTTGGGCTAATTTGGCCCAGGGAACCTGTAGCCCTTGTGTAAACATTCCATTAAAACACAACTGTCCTAACTAAATAACATTTTAAAGGCAATACCTTCAACAAAAGGACATGAACCCAGAGTGGGCAACTAGACTCTACCCCTGTTTTTCTTGCTTGATAGACGTAGAGAAAATGTCCTTTGAGGAACTCTGTTATAAGTACCCAAAGGTGGCCATAGAGAAGATGAGCGATGACTACAAAACACATTGTGAAAAAGCACCTAAAATGGGTAAGTGTCTAAACTTCTCAGTGATGCTAGTACTGGTCTCACCAGGTTTTGGGTTTTTTCCCGTTAGCAAAAGGATTGCTCTCTGGGCCACCCCTGTGGGGTATTGTTGGCTGGTGGGAGTTTTGGCCTTCTGTAATTTATCCTCTGCAGCACGCTCAGTTCTATGAGCCTTTTGGTATCTTCCTCAGCCATTTGTTTTGGCCACTAGACTTTCTAAATGGGGGCCACTGCTTTTCCCAAACTTATAAGAGCCAGCCTAGCAGTGTTGCCCCTCTCCCAGGACCCCTGCCAGGCTCTTAAGTCCTACATCCTAGGAGAGTGCTCCGTTGTGACCACCTCTCCCCTAAACGACTTGGTATTTTATCCCCTTTGATCCAGCACCTTCAGCATTAATCCCATACATGGTCTCCTAGCTTCTGCCAGTACCTGTTAGCTGCATCTCATTGCCTCTACAAAAGGGACATCAGCTTGGGTGAAGCAGCTTCTCTTTCAGCTAAAGGCAGTTCTGAGAGGGCCTCAGTTGTACACCATCAGTCGGCAGAATTCACAGCAGATTAGGAGAATGAGTGCTTCCACCCAGATGGGGGAGAAGGAGGGATCTGGGTTGCACACTATGGCATCTACTACAGCATTCTCGATAGAGGAAGTTTAGGGTATATTTATAGGCATGGTCAACTGAGTATAGCCACAGGGGAAACGTCTATGTCTACTGTGAGGGTGTTTCTCCAGGCTCCACTCCTTAATTTAATTATGTAACTTTTGTTCTGTGTGCAACTTAATATACTCTTAACATGACCTTGTGACCTTAATCAGTTAGTGCCCCCCACCCCAATACCTCAGCTCTCTCTTCTCTCTGATGGAGGAAATGAAGAGCCAGGGCCTCATGATTTTGTTTCACAATGCAACAGTCAAAAGATTCTACTTCAAATCACCTAGTGCCTCTTTTTCTAATAATTACTAATAATTGTGAGCAGCAGGAAAAGAAGAGCATGTTTGACCATCAACTTACTTTTGGACAAAGGTCACCTAGTTTCAAAATTGATATTTTACACACTTTTCAGAATCGATATGAATTGAATCATACAGTAGGTGCTCTAGTTTCTGCTTTAACTCAGTGTAATGTTTGAGTTTAGCTGTGTTGCTGGATTCAGTGATTGTTGGCTTATTTTCAGAAGAGTAGTTACAGAACCACCACCTCGATTTTTCTCATTATTGACCTCCCTAAGGAGCCTCTTTACATATGAAATTTTAATACCATAGATACACTGTAGGTCTGTGAAACACAAAAGAGGAATGTTTGTCTCATCCTGAACCAATTTCCACCCTGTTGGGGACAATATCATCCTCACTGAGAATACATGCTATAATGTATTCCAATATATACCATTTTTTTTTGGTCCTTTCAAAGTTGATGGATATTTCAGTTGTTTCCAGTTTTTGATGATTATTATAATGCTCCTATGAACATCTTTGTACATGTTATTTGATGCAGATATGAACACATTTCTGTTGAATAGATACCTAGAATTTCTGACTTGCTGGATATGCATATATCCAACTTTGACAAATGATTCCCAATAGTTTTGCATAGTGTTTGTACATATTCATGCTCCCATCAACAGGATATGAGAATTCCAGTTGCTCCACAATCCCACCAATATTTGATATGCCAGGTTTTTATTCTTAGCTTTTCTTGTGGGTGTATAGTGATACCTCATCTGTTATTTTAATGTTTTTCCCTATTTACTAACAATGTTGAGTGCCTTTTCATGTGTTTAATATTCAACTGGATATGGGGTGTGTGTGTGTGTAACATTTCTATTCTGTTCTCATGCCATTTTTCTATTTGCTTTTCTTTTTTCTTATTGATTTGTATGAGTTCTTTATATATTCTACATGAGTCACCTATCAGTCACATAGATTTAAGGGTCATATTTTCTCAATGATGTCTCCAATGAACAGTTCTTAATTATAATCCAAATAAAATTGTTGTCCTTTATTGCTTTAATCCAAGGTTATAAAGATATTCTCATGCTTCTTGTCTGTAAGCTTCTTTGTTTTGCCTTTTATATTTAGATTGGCCATCCATCTGGTACTGATTTGCTATATTTGATGTGTGATGTATCAAGCTTCATTTATTTTAGGGATAGATGCCCAGTTGACTTACACCATTTATTGAAAAGATAGTCCTTTTTGCCACTGATTTATAGTACCACTTCTTTCATAAATCAACTGTCCATATCTGCATGAGCTTGTTTCTGTATTCCTTGGTTACTTTTGTCTATTTGCCTATTCTTGCACAGATACAACACTATCTTATTTATGGCAAATTTGTAACAAGTGTTGATAATTGATAGAATTAAATCCTCAACTTTGTTTTGCTCCCTGAAGATTGATATGGCTTTTCTTAAACTCTTGTGTTTCTGTATAAATATTAGAATCACCTTGTAGGTTTCCACCAAAAAAAAAACCTCTCTGAGTTTTTTCATTAGGATTGGAAAAAATCTATAGTTAACTTTGGGGAGAGGCTGATACCTTAGCATTTTGGTACTCTTTTTATTGAGGTAAAATTCCCATAAGGTAACAACCATTTTAAAATGTAAAATTCATTGGCACTACATTCATAATGTTGTATACCCAGCACCTTTATCTAGTTTCTAAACATTTCATTAGCCCTGAAGGGAAACCCTGTAACCATTAAACAGTGATTCCCCACTCTCCCCTCCCATAAGCCCCCAGAAACCTCTATTGTCATCATGGCTTTACCTATTCTGACTATGTTATATAAATGGAATCATACAGTATGTGACTATTCACTTCTGACTTCTTCATTTAGCATAATGTTTTCAAGGTTCATCCATATTTCAGCATATATTAGTTTTTCATTGCTTTTTATGGCTGAATACTATTCTGTTGTATGGATATACCACATTTTGTTTGTGCATTCATCAGTTGATGAACATTTGGATTGTTTGTACTTTTTGGCAATTATGAACAGAGCTACTATGACCATTCATGTACAAGTCTTTGTTTGAATACCTGTTTTCAGTTTTCTTTGTTATAACTCCAGGAGTGGAACTGCAGGATCATGTGTTAATTCTATGTTTAATTTTTTGGGGGAACCACACCACCATTTCTCAGAGTAGCTGCACCATTTTACATTCACATCAGTAATGGAATAGGGTTCCAGTTTCTCTGTGTCCTCACCAACACTTTTTTTTCCTTATTTAGAACTATAGCCACCCTAAAGGGTACAAAGTAGTATCTTGCTCTGGTTTTGATTTGCATTTCCCTAATAACTAATGTTCAGTATCTTTCATGTGCTTTTTGGACAGTCTTCTTTGGAGAAATATCTATTCAAATCCTTTGTCCATTTTTAAATTGTTTTGTTTCTCTTTTTACTCATTTTATTTTTGTTTTATTTTGTGTACAATATGAGGAAACTGTCCAACGGTTGTTCCAACACTATTTGTTGAAAAGACTCTTCTTTCCCTAAAGAATGATGTTGGCACATTTATCAAAGATAAATTGATCATAGATGTATGGGTTTATTTTTATACTCAAAATTCTGTTCCATTGATCTATATGTCTATCTTTATGCCAGTACCACACTATTTTGGTTACTATCACTTTGTAGTGAGTTTTGAAATCAGCAAGTCTTAGTTCCCTAGTTTTGTTTATTTTTTCAAGATAGTTTTGGCTATTTTAGGATCTCCTGGGAACCTGCAATTCTATATGAGTTTTGGAACCAGCTTTGCCATTTCTTCAAAAATTCATTGGGACTTTGCTAGGGATTGCACTGAATCTGTAGATCACTCTAGGTAGCAGAGCCATACTGTCTTCTAATCCATGAACATGAGACATAGTTTCATTTATTTGGGTCCTCTTTCATTTCTTTCAGCAATCTCTTACAGTTTTCAGTTTACAAGTCTTACATCTCCTTGGCTAAATTTATGTCTAATATTTTATTCTTTTTGATGCTATTATAAATAGAATTGTTTTCATTTCATTTCAGATTATTCATTGCTAGGGTATAGAAAATACAACTAATTATTGAATGTTGAACTTGTATCCCGAAACTCCTGGATTCATTTATTGCCATAATAGAGTTATTTGTGTGTGTGGATTATTTAGGAGTTTTTATATATGATTATATTATCTGTTAATAGATACAGCTTTGCTCCTTCCTTTCCAATTTGCATGCCATTTATTTCTTTTTCTTGCCTAAGTCCTCTGGCTGAAGCGCTCAGTACAATGTTGAATAGAAGTGGTAGAAGAAGGCATCTTTGATTGTTCCTGATCTTAGGGAGAAAGCTTTCAGCCTTTCAGTATTGAAGTTAATGTTAACTGTAGATTTGTCCTTTATCATGTTAAGGAAATTTTCTATTTTTAGTTTGTTGGATGTTTTTATCATGAAAGAATTTTAGATTTTGTCCAGTGCTTTTTCTACATCAACTGAGATAATAATTTTTCCTTCATTCTAATGTGTTGTATTACATTGATTTTCATATGTTGAACCACCCTCACATTCCTGGGATAAATCCCACTTGGTTATAGTGTATAGCCTTCTTAATATTCTGCTGGGTTTGGCTTGCTAGTATTTCGTTTAGGATTTTTTGCATCTATATCCATAGGGAATGTTGCAATACCTTTTCTTGCAATACCTTTGTCTGGTTTGGTATCAGGATACTGATGGCCTCTAGGTTTAGAATGGGATAATAGAGGAATCAAGACAGACTGAATGTCATGTGGAGTATAGTATAGTAAAAATGGCTGATTGGGGGAGGCATGATAATTTGAAATGAGATGAAGTATGATGGGCTTGGTCTCAGCAGTCTTCTGAGGAAGGTTGGCTCTAGGCCTAATAGCCAACAGACTTAGATAACACAGCCTGAACTGGTGTTAGTGTCAGAGGTGGAAACGATCCCTGAGTCTCTTTTTAGCAGTAATAGCCTGAGATGGCAGCAGTTGTGGGGACTGTGATTTTTTTCTACATGTACTCAATGTCTGATAAATGTCTTTACTACTTTGTCCCTTCTTATTTTCGGAAATGTTCTCTATAATATGGTGTTCCTCAACTTTATGATTTTTCATTAGATTTTACAGTGGGAATTAAGCAACAACAAAGGATGACTTCACCCACACATAGGAAAATGTCCTTCCCCAAAAGGATTGCTACAAGGAAGCCTTTAATGAGACCCAGGTAAGACATAAGATCTGGCTACAGCAGTATCTCCAGATACAAACCCTCTTTAATCTCAACATGTCTAATGCTGAACTTAATCTTTCTGTGTGCAGGTTTCCAGACATTTTTTCCATATGTCATACATATATGCCCAGGCACACTTTGCATTTTCACTCACTACTTATTTTCTAGAATTGGCAATATGCAATGTATATTTTACAATAACTTTTTTAACTTAACAAACTGTTATGGATATCCTTCCATGTCAGTATATATAGGCCTACTTCCTTCCATAGAATGGATGTAGCATAATTTCTTTATAGACATTCTTAATGAACTTTTTAATGGATATTTACATTATCTTTAATTTTTCATTGCTTTAAATAATACCACAATAAACATCTTTGTACATGTATCCTTGCCTTTCTGTGTTTTTCTAGACTGTGTACTCTGTAGTAGCCTTCTGTTTCCTTCCTTCATGTCTCTCCCCCTTATAATCAGTCCTATAGTCAGCCTTGATAAGGTCACCCACTGTGATTCAGACTCTGTGGCCCTTTCTTTCAGGAATGCCCATTCACCTTTCTTTCCAGTTACCTTAGCACAAGTGCCGCCTCTACATAAAAAGTTACCAAATATATGTCTGCTGTGATTACCTTCTCCTCAGAAACACTAAACCCCGAAAATACAATACTAAGCTCGCTTACCATGTACTATTTTTTCACTGCTTTCTATTTTTTAGGTATGCTTTTCTCCTGACTAGGCTATAATTTTCTTGTAGCCCATGTCATTAATTTAGTCATTCATTCATTTTATTTAATAATTAACTGTTAATGATAGCTATATTGAAGATCCTTACAGAGGATAGAGATATTGCAGGACATGGAAATTTGGCAGTCAGTCACTGGAAGGATATATTTCATCGAGAAAGCTCCCAGAAGTGTGTTTTCAGTTACTGATAACATTTATTTGGAGTGATAAGCCCTCTATCTCTTCTACATATTCTAGATAGATCTTCCTCCCCTTCAAGAAACTGAAATTATTCCCTGAGGTTCAATCATTTATTCCTTTTGTATTTTTCACCACTCTCGACTATATCCACAGAAATACCTATTTTCCAATTTAGTTGAGTATGAGTAGCACAGAATTCTTATCTAAATCATACATTCACAAGGTCATTAAATTTGAGAAGGAATTTGTAGGGTCATATCATCCAGCTTCACTTCTTCTTCAGTTAAGACCACAACAGAATGTCTCAGGGATACTACAGTTCAATTCTCTCAAACCTTGTCCCTAGCTCCCATTCAATTTAATAAATGGTTATTGATTATATACTGTGTCCCAGACACTCTATGGGTACTACTTATTAAAAAAAATAAGACATAATACTTGCCCTTAACTTAACATATAACTAAATAAAATACAAGACTGACCTTAAAATGTTATGATAAATTATTGGCTACTTACTATGAGCATATAGTGGAAGGAGAAGGAACTTTTGAGTGAAGATTAGGAAAGTTAGAGTATCGGCAGAGGCCCTGAACTACATGTAGGAATTCAGCTGCAAAGAAATGAGAGTATTTTGGAGGTACAAATAAACCTTCCAAGCTGAAAAAATAACAAAAAGATATAAACTCATGAATATGAAAGTAGTATTAAAAGACTTGAAAACAGTCCAGTGGTTTTAAAGCATAGAATGCATGGGGTAAAGGGACATAAAATGAAGGTTAGAAAGCCAGATTGAGACCAAATAACTGAACGATGGTCTTAAGTGAATTATTAATGAATTTGTATGATTAAATGGCAATGAGGATGCATTGAAGTTATCAGAGCAGGGCTAACAGAAATACCTATTTATATGGATTTTTAAAATATTACTCTAGCAGAAATAGCAATGATAGTATAAAGAGTCAGAGACTCCAAAACTGAAGGCAGAAATAATAGTTAGAAGATTATTGCAGTTGTTTGGGCAAGTGATATTAAAACCTGAAGTAAACAGTGGGAGTAGAAGTAGAAGGGAAGAAGGAGATTTAAAACCACTGATGAGGAAGATTCAGATTTCTGGAATGGTGGAATAAGACTCACAAATTGTCTCCCCATTTAAAAAATGACAAAACTGGGTAAACCTGTCAAAATTTCAGAACTCTGTGAATTATATTATTCAAAATGTCAGTTTTAAACAAAAAAGGAGACATAATTCCTTGCCACCCCCCAAAAATATATCCCATAGGAAAGTATGGCTTGAGGGGGAAAAAAGCAGTTAATAGAAACTCTCTGAGGTGATTCAGATGTTGGAGTCACCAAAGACTTCCAAGCAATATGTTAAATGAACTAAAGGAAACCATGTTTAAAGAATTAAAGGAAAGTGATGACAATGGTTCATCAAGTAGAAAATATCAATAATAAGATAGAAACTGTAAAACAGAATTAAAAATCTGAGTTGAGAAATGCAATAACTGAAATGGAAAATTCACTAGAGAGAATCAGTAACAGATTTGAGTTGGCAGAAGAATTAGTGAACTTGAAAATAGCTCAGTATACATTATTCAGTCTGAGGGAAGAGAAAAGAATAAAGAAACATAAACAGAACCTCATAGATCTGTGAGACATCATCAGGCACACCAATATACAAATAATGGTAGTCCCAGATGGAGAAGAAAGAGAGATTAAGGGGCAGAAAGAAAATTTGTAATAATAATGGTTGAATACTTCCCAAGTTTAATTAAACTCTTAATCAAGACATACAAGAAGCTTAATGAACTCCAAGTAGGAAAACTCAGAGAGATCCACCCTAGACATATCCTAGTCAAATTGTTGAAAGAAAAGAGAAAACTCTTAAAGGTTACAAGAGGAAAATGACATCATATTCAAGGGAATTACAACATAATTAAGATTTACTTCACATCAGAAACAATGGAAACTAAAGGTGGTGGGATAATATATTATAATTAAATTTAGAAGGAATTAGCAAAGGAAATGTAGAAATATTGATCAATAACTGATGGCTCATTGTTGTGCCTCACTAAATCGATTGGCAGTAGGGGTTGTTTTGAATCTATAATGTAAAAAATGAATTTTCAAGGTTTTCTTGAAAAAAATTATCCTCTTTAAAATACTTCTCCTCTTCCACTGGAGTTGTCAAATGATTGGTCCAGCCTTAGGATGGATGTATGAAAGTTTAAGTTTATCTCCAAGGAAATAGGCAGAGTAACCAATTCATTCACCCTGCTCTTCACACATGGCTACAGGCCCCACAGCCTGGGAGATGCATTCCCCATTCCCTAGTTGGAGTTGAATCCAGGGTCACCATCCTTTTCTCTCCCCAAGTTTCTGTCTTCTTGTTTTCAGTAACTTGGCAGAAGTCCTCCGAAATGCACACCACTTGGAGTTCTTCAGGGAGTTCCTCAAAGAACGAAAGGCTGACGGCCCATTGCAATTCCTGGTAGCCATTCAAAAGATCAGTGGTAAAAAGAATAAGAAGACTTACAAGTCTCTCTTTGAAGATATAGTCACGACTTTCTTCCATGGCAAAGCCTCTCCTGGTATGCATCCTCTTCCCCTTATATGCTTCTTCCTCCTTTTAGGATCTTAGGAGAAGAGTTTGGGGAAAAGCTTTTCTCTTGTGAGCTCCCTGAGAGAGAACAGAGCAGCAGCCACATGGGGCAGTAGTGAGACAAAGAGAAGGACAATGAAAGCAGAGCAGTATTTGCTCTACAAATATGCTTCCACATAAGACACTTGCCCATATATGTGAAATATACCCTCTTATTTAATTTTATTCAACACTGGAAATAAGATTTTATTTAATCCCTAAAAAATTGGGATAAATAGCTCCATTTTAAGAAAAGTGAAACACATTAAAGTTAACTAACTTGTCCAACTGGTGGAATTTGAATTCAAACTCAAGTAGTTGGACTCTCATATCAACTAGGCTGAAGTTAGATGCAAAAGCAAATGTTAACTGTATGTAAAGTTGGAGTGTCCACAGCCCATGGGTTGCATGGGGAAGGAGAGCTGACTCCTTGAAAATCTTAGTTTCATAAATTTTGTCTGGATCCCTTGCCTAAAATGGGAGGGTAATCTAACCGGTCTCTAAATTCATCTTGACCAGAAGCAGAAGTTGCATGTAAAGTACTGACCTATGATTTTAGAGGAAAACAAAAGGGATCTTGATCCCAACCCAGAGGTAAACAAATCTATAGAGAAGCAATGAAGATAAAGCCTCTTGTTCTGGCACAGATGAACAGATGTGAGGTTCTTGTGTGTTTATTTTGCTTTTGGTAAACCAAGAGAAGGTGATCAATTTTATGAAAGTAAGGAAAAGAGATAAAATTGGCAAATCTTTACTTACAAGAAATATTGATTTGGTGAGTCATGGGGCATCAAGCTCTGTACATCATTTTGAATGAGCTAGGAGACTAAGAAGAGTAGGCAGGATCCTGCACTTGGTAAGTTTCAAGTCTAATTAATGAACACAATAGTCCCTGAACACCTGGAGCACCATATTGTTCTTATGGCACTTAGGTGTAGTTTTGGGTTCCCCATTTGCCCAATCAATTTAACTTAAATTCTTTACTCTTCTGCTCTTTTCCTAAACTGAAAACTTCAAACTAGCTACAGAAATGAGTCCTTTAAACGTTTATTTCCCCTTGAGCACTCATCTTTTACATTTGAGTGGAACTAAGCCAGGACAGTATTTGCTCTACAAATACACTTAATACAACATTCCAAATATGTTTCTGAAATTTTCAAACAAATTGTGGAGCACCCAGAGTCTAACCAGATTAAGAATAAGGGACTGTAAGACTCTAAAATCAAAAAAAAAAAAAACACAAGCTACCTAAAATGTAGTAGACAAGAAGATTATGGCTTCTTTTCTCTCTCCCGAATTTATTAGAAGAATTGCTACAGTGCGACGCCCCTATTGTCAAAGAGATCTCTCACATGCATCATGTCAGCACAACCACATTGTTAATTCTCCAGGACTATGTCATGAAATCTCTGGAAGAGAAATGGTGAGTATTCCTCAGCGAAGGCAATGATTCCTTCTGGAGCTGCTCACTGGCTTCAGAAAGTCACTCAGTCTTGTAATCCGTTCTCATAGGTCACTACCAGATCCTCCCTACAAAAGAAAAGCCAAACTTATCTTGAACCTTCTTACCCACCTACCTACCTATATGTGCATGCACACGCATGGGCACGCACACACACACACACACACACACACACACACAGTTCTCATTTGCATGGACAAGGTACAATACAGTATTGACCAGGAAGGACAGCTGACATCAGCAATGGATTGACATGGCAAGAGCATTTTTTAGTATCTCTTCATTCCCTAATTCCCACTTTGACTTCTTCCAAAAACTGAGATAGGGTTGCCTTGCCTGTTACCTTTTATAGCTCAACTTTTGTCTTTTTTGATATTCTTGGTCTCCTGGCAGGTTCAAAGATTATCAAGAGCTGTTCCCAACTCATCCTCCAGAGGGAGACACTGCAGTACAAATTTCTCGGAGGAAGCCGGCAAGGACCACAGCAATTTACCTGCAAGAATCCCAGGTCAGTGAGGAAGACAGTGAAGACAAGGCACTGGGAACAAGGAGACCACTGCCTAGGCGTTGCTAATCATACAAAAGAGTTTCACTCTTAGCTTATTTAATCACCAGAACAACTACTCTTTGGGATAGGTTTTTAAATTCCATTTTACACAGGGAGAATCAGAGATTTAGAGAAATTGTTAGTGGAAACTTAATGAAATCCCTCTTCACTATCTGTGATTAGAACCAACTGAGTGATAGACGCAGGGGTCAGACCAGTGGAGATCAAAATGTCAGTTTTTTTTACTGCTGAAACCTAGTTTGAAAGACATGGACTGGCCACACAACCAAATGGGTTTGATAATCCTTTCTGAACCCAGATTAAATTTACTTACACATCCAGTCACTGGCATAATGGAACAGCTTAGGCTGTTGGATTTTCCCAGAGGAGGACGCCACCCCAAATCACTCACGGAAGGTGTCTCTTGATGCAACAAGCAAGAGGAATTTATTCAGGAACCAGCTAGCTGGGGTCCAAGTGTCAGCCCGACGCAGCGGGTCTCAACAAGGACCCCGAGCACTTAAAGCCAGAGGTTTTTATAGCATTTTCAAAAGGACAGTATTTTCCCACAAGCACATAACAGTGTTTCTCCATAGACACATAAATATTTGGCTGGCGCCACATCCTGGGGGTTTAGCGAGATAAGATCACCCTCAGAATGTTAGGGTGGTTTTAGCAAGATAAGCTTGGTATGTGTGATTAACTGATTGAGGTTAGCTGACTAAAGGTCACTGCTATCAGTGCTCACGATTGACTAACTTGTTTTTCAAGGCCCTACCTAGTTCCAATATTTTTTTCTTCCTGAGTCACACCCTCAGAAAATGGTTTCTAGGTTTCTAAGACGACTATGCTTATGCTAATTTACTAATCTTACTAATGCTTAGATTCTACAAGGCTTCCCTTCACCTGGGTGAGCCCCTTGCTGTATGACAAAGGCAGGCCTGAGCACAGGTGTCCTACAGATAAAACAGCTCCCAGAGAGAGAATGCAGAGAGCTGAGAGCAGAGCATACCCATTTCCTTCTTCCAAACTCAACTATCTAACTCATTCTTTCTCCAGTGGGAGGAGAGTAAAAAGGAAGAGGAGACAGGAACGTTATTAAGGAAAATCTCTTCATGCAGTCAAAGTAAAAAAAAAAAAAAATAGTCCTCTTAAATAATCACTTGCTCAATGTGTTGTAGAGTTGGTTAGTATCAGAAAAATTTGAGCCCAGCTCTGTCTGACTCTAAAGATCATACTAAGATGTCTCTGAAAATAGCACCTATGTGCATTGATCCAATAATCCAGATATGAGAATGGGCTGCTGCTTCCTTTCTCCTTATTTCCTCCATACATGAATCACCTCCATGTCATGGGACCACAGATGATCATTGAGGGTATTAAAAAGACTAGTGCACCTGGAAGCAGGACTCTGTTTTAATTTCAGGTCTTCCAGTTGGTCTTAGATAAGAAAAGATAAAAAGAAACCAACACATACTTACACCTACTTTGTGGCAAGCACTGCATTAGGATTTACATATATGATCACTAACCCTCCACCACAGCCCTGAAGGCTCTTGTTTCTATCTCACACATGGAGACAATGAGACACAAGTAAATTGATCCAGATTACACAATTAGGGAGAAGCTAGGCTCCAGACTCAAAGTTTATGATCCCAAAGCCAGTGAGGTTTGTACTTCACCCCTGGCTTTCTAAAGACAAGCTTACACTGAGGTTCCTTCTCTGTAGAATGACACAACTGAGTGAGCTGATCAACAAGATTCTTTCTGGTTCTAAATACCAATTTCCCAAGGAGTAAATGAACTGGAGAATGGTCACTGGATATCTACTAAAACAGATGAAGAAACTAATCAGATGCATTTGTATGTGTGCATGTGTGTGTACGTGCTTGTGAGGGTGTGCGTGTAAATCTACTCTTCTTTTTCTAATGGTTATAAATAGTTGAACTCACTTCCGTATTTCTTCAACATTTCAAAATATGAACCATTGTTCCCTCCTTTGAGTCACACTTATGTCTGTCCTCTGTTTCTTCCTGTTTTTAGCCCTCACACTCCCTCTCCCAGTCACAGCCTCGCAAACCTTCACTGTTGAAAACCTGTGGTAGAAGGAGCTTTGGCAATGGCCCCATCCTCGCCTGGCTGGAACCGGAATCTCCCACCCACCACCGGCTGCTTAATCGGAGGAAGGTTATACAAGTTCTCTGACCTGAGTTTCTTCTCCTTTAAACTGCAGCTAAAAATTATTCCTTACAAAGGAGGTCTTGTGAGAATTAAATGTAATGAATGTCAGTTTTCTGGCACATGGTAGTCTCTCAGTGAACAGCAGTCATGTTAATGAATATGTCATACCCCTCTTTCTTTCCCCAGAAGAGAGTCTGGCTGAAAATGATCAGCGTTATCAAGAGCTTTTGCAAGTACCGTAGATTTATGTCTAATCCCAGTAAGCGCCTGGAATTTGAAGAATATCTTCACCTGGAAGTATATAATAACAAGGAAAGTAAGTTACTTCTCTATTTACTGCACTTCCCTGTTGATATTTCAACCATGGAGGTTAGCCCAGGTAAGAAGCCTCAGAGCTTATTGCTCTGTGTCATGCAGGTGTTAGCCTGGGGTCCAGCAAGAACCCCAGGTCTTGAGGACACAGTCAAGCCCCGGCCTGGCTAGAACAGATGTGAGCCCAGTGGCTTCTGCTCAGGGAGGAGGAGAATGGCTAGTCTAAAGTCCTGAAAGATCTCACATTTTACAGCACTACTTCCTTAAATTATTTGTCCATGTAGAGATATGTTCAATGGCTTCATTCATTTGTTCATTCCATTATTCAACACAGTGTTTGAGAATCTGCCATGTGGCCGGCATACTTTGCCTGGTACTGGGGATTCAGTAGTGAATATGCAGACAAAATCTGCCTTCATGGCACCTGCAGTTTTGAGGGCATGAAAGAAAATGAGAGCCGCAGATGTTGGAGCTAGACTACCTGGATTTGAATCTGACATTTTCTAACTGAAAGACCTGTGAAGGTGACTTTGTACCTCAGTCTCCTCATCTGTAGCATGGCAATAATAATTGTTATATTCTTTGATTAATTCACCCATTTATCATTATGAAAGAAAATCTTTAGTAATACTCTTTTCTCTGAAATCTAACTTATCTGACATTAAAATAGTCACACGAGCTTTCTTTTTATTAGTTTTAGCATATATGTCTTTTTTCATCCCTTTACTTAAACCTATTTATGCACTACATTGAAAGTACTTTTCTTGAAGCCAGCATAAAATTGGGTCTTGCTTTAAAAAAAAAATCCAATCTGACAATCTTAGCTCAGTTGAGAGCCAGTTGTTAAATATTTAGGAACTTGGGGAGCCAGTTGACAAACATTGATAGCTTGAAATCAACCATAGTGGGAGTATTTGCTATAAAAATCAGCAGTGATACAAATTAGGTGCTCCTCTTCCCTACCAGAGCTGGTTTACAAGTATACCACTGCTCACAGATTTCCTGGTTGGATTTAGCCACTCTTTTCCTAAAATCCCTGACCATCACATCAATATTCAAACTCAAATCTAAGAGAGAAAGAAAGATAGATTGTCAGTTAGTAGGACCTATGTCTTTCAGGGCTGAAACCCTAGGACCTAGCACAGGGTCTGGGACTTAACAGGTGCCGGGTATTTATTGAATCTTGTAGTTACCCTCTCATCCTATATGTAACATTGCACCAAAAGGAATCCTACATACACCATAGGGACCACCATGCCCACATCCATTATTCCTGAACAGATACCCAGAATAAAATATTTTTGGAAGAAAAGTAAATTCTAAAGCTGGATTAGGAAATTTTCTTAAACCCAACCAGGCAATTAACTAGGGTCTACTTGCCAGATCCAGCCCAAAACTGTTCTCTTCTCAGCCCTGAATCCCTATGAAGGGATTTCTTTGGACATATCCAGGTCAATAAACTTCCTAAAGTAAGTGTCTTGTTTTTCTGAGACACAATTCAAACCTTCTAAAACTTTCTATGTTTTCCTTTACTCATTCCTGCCTCTTTTATACTCCAACTTCCTCCTTGCGGTTTATTTAATAAACCTCTTTACTCTTCACATTTTAGCTTTTTCTTTGTGCTGCTTTCCAAATTTACTTTAAAAATCCCTGATAAACTTTGGATAAGAATCATCAGAACCACACACTTCATTACAAAGGTCACGTCTGCATATTCTGTTTCTGTAGCAATGTTACGAATCAGCCTACCTACAATGTGATTATATTTCTTAGACAATCAGCAGGAAAATATCAATCAGTACGAGTCAGTTGATTTTGAAGGCAAGGGGTGTGCATGTTATCATACCATCTGAGCATTTGGCTTTCTCAGCAGTTCTTCAAGTCTATGTAAAATGTTGAGGCCAATGGTAGGGAGTCTCTATTTCAATAAGCTCAAAGGTGGGTTTAGAATTTCATTTCTTCATTTTAGTTACACCCAGTTCAAAGACTTCATGCTTAAGAATGACTTAATCAAACTAAATTTCACTTCCTTCCTCTTTGCCTTTCAGATCTCTCCACATCACCAGCTGTACCAGGACACTCAACTGCCTGTCCTGCCCACGACCAGAGTGTGGACCATGAGAATGGAGATACAGTCTTTGTGAAGCGCCGTATATTTGGCCACAGGATTATCACCGTTAACTTTGCGATCAATGATATATATTTCTTTTCTGAAATGCAGAAGTAAGTTTCCCATCTCTCCTTCCCCTCATGGTTTTCCATGCTTAGTACCTCTCAGCAAAGACAGGAGTGGCCTGTAAGTGGCACAGTAGTTTCAGCAAGAGTCTCCATCTGAAAATCTCACTAAATGCTGTCACTATATCAATTTCTACCATTCTTTCCTTTGGGTCCTAAAAGCCCATTATTGAAATGCACTTATTTATATCCAGGAAGTGAAGCATTTTCCCCTATTATTTATTAAGATAATAGAAGTCCCTTTATGTGGCACCACTGGACCAATAGTTCTTTTTTACAGCAAGGAACTATAACAAAAATTGTGTGTGTATGTGCATGACATTAAACACATATTTTTAAGAAATATTAATGTATATTCACTCACCTGTCGAACTTTTGATGTAAAGACAAAGCCATTCAACTAATTGGAGGCCCACATATTTTTCTTGTATGAACTATAACCAAAATGTGATCTGCTGATTCCAATTTTTCTCTTTAAAGTAGAGTGAAAATTGAAAGGTTACTGCAAAATGATTTAATCCTTCTGGGTTTTTATACTTGCTTTTTCAATTTTTTAAATTGTCTTGCCACAACTACATCAACAGAAATATCTTGAAAAGCTATTTTGCCTTTATTAGAATGTTCCAAAGCATTCAAATTTGTTTTCACAGAAACAACAAATACCTTTTCATGTTCATAGTTTGTCAGTTTTCATGAATTACAAATTATAGTAACAAGTATAATAGGCAAAAATATTTGGAAATAAACCTGAATAACTCTTAGTAAATATCTGCCTCAACTAGATGTGGAAATGTAAATGAGTACCACAGAAGGTACCACCAACATATATTGTGGGCATGAAAGGCATCAGTCAGTGTGTTTTTCAGAAGTGCAGAGGACCTGGCAACTCAGCACCCTAGTTAGGGGCATTAAGTTATGAGATCTTCCAGTGCATAGCAGTGAAGGATAAGCTCAGCTCCACAAATCCTCTTTCTTGGGCTGGATTTGGCATCGGAGATACAAACACGCCTAAGATACACAAAACAACGTGCTCTCCATTCTCCAGGATCCCACATACTAATGGGGATGGTAGATGAGATACAAAAGTTGGTAAATACGATGATAAGATACTGTTACCGGTGGAGATGCTGTTTTTCCCAGGATCATGTCTCATGGCGAAGAATGAACCCAGCAGACAAGAGTATGGAGCAGCCAGCAAAGGTTGTAATTAAGAGTGAAAAGGAAAGAAAAGACTCCCATTAACTGGGTGGGGCTCCAAGGAAGGATGCTGCTGGTGCTGTAGTGTCCAGGGTTTATAAGCACAAAAATGAAGTAAATCAAGCAAGCGGCTGGGAGTTGTAGCTAGGGCCTGTTGCCAGGGCCAAGATGAGATTGGGAAACTCCCTTGTTTCTCAGGCTGAATTTTCCCCAATGTCCAGGATGAGGCATCTTGTTTACTGCAAAGCCTTGACCCTAGTTCCCTTCTGCCTGCATCCCACTAACACCTGCCTCAAAACTATGGAAGAGTCAGGCACTGGAAGTGCATTTAGACATAGGGCTTCTTGGAAGACAGGTCATCTAAGCTGAATTTTTAATTCATTGGTTGTGAGCTCCTAGAAAGTAGGACTTTGAAGGATGAGTAAGTGTTAGTGAGATTAAAAAAAGAAAGTGTGCAAGGGGGTGGCAGGTGGGGAGGAGAAGGAAATACTAGTCAAGGTGGGAAGCCTTCCCTGCTGCTGCTCAGATTCCCACCATCATCTCTGCTTTCTCACTTGGCCTCCACAAAGTGTTCTCTGCACAGCAGCCAGAGTGCCCTTTAGCAATGTAAACCAGGTTATATCACTCCCTTGCCTAAAATGCTCCAGGAGCTTCCCATTACCCATTGAGTAAAGTCCAAAAGTGCTTGGCCTACAGGGCCTACAGAAGCAGATCCACCTCCCTCCGGGAGCCCGTCTCCTGATGCTGTCTTCTCACCCTGCTCCAGCCCTGGGGCCCTCCACTCTGCTCTGCCTGGTCCAGCTGTGCTGGTGCCTACTTCAGAGCCTTTGCACTTCCTGTTACCTCCTTGCAAAGCAGCTCCTGCCCTCTGGACATCAGATGTCCGTCATTTTCTTTCTCATTGTTCTGGGCTCAGTGCCCACCCCTTCCCAGCCACCATCCCCCTTTGTTGTCTTCATAACCCTCTACTGGACATTTGATTATTCATCGATTTACTCATATGTCTTCTTCCTTTCTTGGATTGTTTGCTCTTAGAAAGCAGGGCTTTGTTTACTGTGTTCACTGCTGACTCCCTGCTCTGGGAACTGCTCCTCGTACGGAGTAGACCTTAATAAACGTCTACTGATTGAACAGATGAATGGATATGCAAAACAAGCTTAAAATGGGAAAACCTTGGTATTCTATTAAGATGATTTAAAATAGTTAAAATTTAAAATGGCCTGAGAGAAGTAAACTGTGTACTTAAACCAAAATAATGTGTAACTGACAGATATTTGATGGCTAATAAAAGAATGTGTTACTAGGAGACAGAAAGTAGAATGGCATTTGCCAGGGGCTGGGAGAAGGGGGGACTAGGAGTCAGTGTTTAATGGGTATGGGGTTTCAATTTAGGGAGACAAAAAAAGTTATGAAGATGGATGGTGATGGTTGCACAACAGTGTGGGTATACTTAACACCACTGAGATGTACACTTAAAAATGGTTAAACTGATAAATGTCATGCTATGTATACATTTAGTACAATTAAAATTTTTAATTAAAGGAATATATTGCTTTAGAGGGTGGTGGTATTTGTGAGAGGGTCAACACAGGAAGAGAAATAGCGAACAAGATAGCCCTTAGCCCTTGAAATAGAGAAAAAACTGGTGCAGCATGAAAAAGGGAGGATGGGGTAAAGAAAAGAGTTTTCAGTGAAGAAATGCACTTGAAGAAGCAAGTAGCATATCATCTGACATATATAGGGGCTCAATTAGTATTCCCTGATGGATAGATTATGATTGAGTAAATGAAGTCACAACCTTGCCTGTGTTTTTTAGGCCAGCCATAGGTCTGGGCCTGCTCCCCTGCTACCTTCTGCCTCCCTCTTCTCCCTGCTGACTTCCTACTTATTCCCTCTTTTAGATTTAATAATTTGGTGAGTTCAGCTCATATGCTGCAAGTCAACCGGGCGTACAACAAGAATGATGTGATCCTAATGAGGTCCAAAATTAACATCATCTTAAAGCTCTACCTGCATTCCGATGTCCTTCCAAGGTTGAGGGTAAGGGGGACTCCCACTCATTTTGCCAGGAAACATTTCCCCCACAAGAACCCTGAGGGCTAGTAGGTACCTCCTCAGTCCTGGATCAAGCAGATGTCCGTTACTTAGCAGCCCCATGAAAACCCTTTGTCTTCTGGGGGTGGTCGTGAAAGTCCTGAGGACCAAGACAGGTTTTCTGTCTTCCTTGGAGCCTCTGCCAGTGACAGGCTCCCACTCTGTGGGTAGGTGAACATCTCTGAGTCCCAGAAGGAAGCCATCATTGCCGCCATTACCGAGGGCCACCTAGACCGGAGCATCTTCCATGGGACTATCATGTCTCTCTTCCCCATCGTTATGTACTTCTGGAAAAGGTAATTGTCTCCCTTCACCAGAAGACCATGAGGTCAGGAAAGCATGTTTAACTTTCTAGAGCATTTTCTGTCTTCCTCTAGCCCTCTGTCTCACAGTTTCTAGTTTCATGGGAACTAAGATGGTATATTCTTATCCTACTCACTACACTCCATCCCTCACACTCACACACTGAACACTGAATCAGGATGGAAGGCCAAGGAGCCGTATGGAAGGCTTAAGGAGCCGTATGGAGGCAGTAAGCCGGAAGAGTTTTATTCTTTTTTTCCCAAATGCCATATTTACCAGTAGGAGCACAATTGCTAGACATTTTGATTTTCAAGAGGAGCTATAAATTCAAATTTTTTTGTCATATCTCCTAAGGTTAAAGTGGCAAATGTGGCCACTAACTCAAACAGTGAGGAACCTGTGAAGGCCAAAAAACAAACATGAAAGAAACTAATTATCTGCAGGACAAATGCGCCCCATGGCCCACTGGTTCCTAAGCCTGTCCTGCCAAGGTCTGCGCTGAGAGACTGGCCTGGGTCCTCCCAGCTGGTCACTTGCTCCCGTGGTGCCCTGCAGTTCCAGCTCATACCTTCCCAGGCTGAACGGCTGTACGCTGGGAGATAGCGACCAGAGGTCCACTGGCTGAAATGTTCCCAGACAAGGCAGACTGGCCTGTTCAGCTTATCACGTGATTATGTGATTATGGCTCTTAGGGATTCCCTTCTCCCACACACTCAAAAAATATTACTTTATTAAAATAGAAGTATACAGCTTACCAGTCACCAAGCTTTATTTTAAAATCCCTAAGATAATAATTTAATACAGGATTGAAAGAAATTTTAAAAACCTAAGTTCCAAGATAACCAGTTGCCTTCTAAACACCAATTATTGTCTAGCACTTCATTCTAGACTTGCGTCCAATTCTGTTAACCAAGTCTAAATAGAAATTCATCCAGAAACTTTCTGGAGTATCAGGTTTCGAGTCCCCAGTCTTCACATAGCTGGTTCTTTACTTGTTTTTCTGTATGCTTATGAAGACTTTTATATTGTGCAAACTGTGTACGTACAGATTATCTCAGATGAACCTCTCAACAACCCTATGAGGTAGGTGGGGCAAAGTATCCCTATTCTATAGATGAGGAAACTGTGGTTCAGAGTGGTTAAGGGACTTGCCTAGGATCATTGGGTAAGTGGTAATACCAGAATTACAAACCAGGTCTCTTGGTCTCTTAAGCACCATAAAGAATGCATCTGTGGCACATTAGGAGATCCATGTTGGTAGGGAGACCCATTTCAGCAAGCAGAATGGGAGAAGCCAGCTGATCGCATAGTGTGCCCCTCAGGGAGGGAGAAGGAGAGAGGGCAGCGGTCAAGACCACCAGACCCAAATCCAGTCTTAGGCAAGACTGACTCCAAGGGGTCCAATCTAAGGGCAGGCTGAGGGACAGCAAGGGGTGAGGAGCCAGTGAGGAAGAGATGGAGAATGCCAGAGTGCTTCTGGGAACTGTAGTTCTCAGGTTGCAGTGACTCGGAGAGTTTGAGTTTAGGTGAGAAACAGGGTCTGCTCCAGGGCAAGGGCTTTGGGAATGAGGTGAGAGAGTCACAGCCCTCAGTAAAGGAGAGGATGGAAACCAGCGATTAGACCTGAGAGGAGGCCCTGTCAGACCCTCTGGCTGTACCAGGTAGGGTTAGATGGGAGCTCATAGTCTGATGCTCAAGCAAGCATCCTAAGGGGTAACCCACCCCCGACCTGGGAACAGCAGATTCTTTACAGCCTCGATTCCCTAGTAGTTCCACAAGGATGTCCCAATGTACTACCCATACCAGGCACTCGTGGGAGTCAGGCCTGAACAAAGTAGAGGCCTCGGAAGAAGGGCATCTGCCAGGCAGCACTGAGGCCACGTGTTCTGCTCTCTCTCCCTCTCTCTGTAAGGACGGGTTCTGACCCAGTTCCCCTGTGCTCAGTGTTCCAGCCCCTCAGCTAGGGACCTTCTCGCTGTGACCAGGAGCCATGTTTCTCACAGGTTTTGTTCCTGGAAGGCAATACACTCTTACTTGCAGTACAGGGGAAAGAAACTCAAGGACAGAAAAAGCCCTCCTACGTCTGTGAACAAGAACTCGCCCTGGAGTGGAGGTAAGCTCCGCATGACCCACAGCCCCATGCTCTAGCTCACAGGACTTGTGAAGAGAAAGCAGGGAAAGTGAAGGCCTGAAGGCCCAAACACAGGACTTTGCAGAGGGTGTTTGCTGGAGGGGCACACAGCCCATTCACTTGGCTCTCAGAGAGGCACTTAGAAGTAGGTTGTATCTCTGGCTATCGGTGCTGGTAACAGCATACCCCACCGTGGGACCGCCCCCAGCTGCATCTCCCAGGATGCCTCTGGGCATACAGATCATAGTCTCTCGGGTGGATAGTGGAGGTGGGGACCTGCTTTACTGCTGTTTAAGAAGGCCCCTGCTCCAACCATTTCCATTAACGCTGTGGCTTGAAAAACATCTATTTTATAGAATTAAATGAGAAAACAAAGATATAGAGGTAAAGCATGATTTTAATGTGGTAAATACATGTGTGTATCTTTATGCATATATATAATTTTTATGAAAGCATGGGAAAGAACTTAGAAATAAAGTGTTAATAGGATTATCTCTGGGTGGTATGACTATAAGAAATGTATATATATTAATATGTTATCAATTTCACATTATTAATATATGTTATCTATATATTTATGAATTATAAATAAATGTGTTAGAAAACATGTGCAAGGGTGCATAAACACACACACACACACACACACACACACACATATGTCCTCTTAGCACAGAGCAGTTAAACTCAGTCCCTCTCCTGATATCAACAGTGAGATCACTACTTGAGCAAAATGGTTTTCTAAAGAGAGGGAGGAGGTATACAGGGCTGTGCTTGGAGAGGGCAAGGCTGGATGGCTCTGCAGTGGAAAGTTCTGGAACCAAAGTGGACAGGCCTGTGAGTGGGAACAGCATGAGCATCAGCAGCCACTGTGGAGATAGGACCGGGAGTCTTAAAAGCAGCAGCTCATCGTGCCTTGATAGAGCTGAGCATTCTGTTGTTTCAGCTCAAACCTGCCCATTTTCCCAGAGACTTCCTCCTGCCCCCACTCCAGTCCTCACAGGCAGGCATCCCAGCCCCTTCTTGGAGTGCAAACAAAAGCCCTTGACTCCTAAATCCATCTCTGGCTAGTCTGAACAGCCGGGGAAGCAGCTCTGCCTGGCTGTGGAGCCTGACTCCTGCCCTGCTGACAGGGTCCTCACCTCAGCAGGAAATAGATCCGCTACCTCCCTAGCTACGGCTGCCCCGGCTGCCAGGAAACATTGCTCATTACCCTTTCCTCTGCCTTGTGAAATGTGACCAGTAGACAGAAATCAGCAACTTTTCAGTATGTGGGGCAAAATGTCCTTGGGGGAGCAAGGGCTTATTTAGGATGAGGGTGGGAGAAGGTTAAGAATAAGAAGAAAAGGAGAGGGAGGCAGGCGGGTAGGGCAGGCAGATGATATTCAGAGGAGCAAGAAAATGTCCCTTAGGGTACCCAAAGAGCCCCCAGCCTTGGCTCATGTCCTGTGACTGAGCTCCTGGGGAGTAAATCCCCAAATCTTTCCTGGTGTCCAGAGATGGAAGAGGGCAGCAGATGCCCTGAACTATGGTGTCAGGCCACTTGGGTTCCAGGCCCAGAGAGTCAGTGTGCACGAGCTGAGGGACCTTGAGCACCCTGCTTCCCCTCACCACCGCAGCCCACTCAAAAGTTCAGATTTAGGTAATGTCTATCACTGCCATGCTCTACTCCAAGGAATGTCAAGCAGGCGTGTTCTTACTTACATAGAAAGGTTAATATTATTGGGTGTTGTAATGTTTCTTAATGCTCTTCCTTTGACCTGCCCCAGGAGACCAAGCCATCCTGAGATTCTCCTTGCTCAGAGGTATTGAATGGTTGCAGCCTCAACCGCAGGAAGTGATAATAAGTCCAGTCCAAAACTGTGAGTTGGAGTTGGAACCCCACTGATATTAAAAGTCCACTACTCAGTTAGAGGTGACTCTAAGGCCACTTAGCCAGTCTCCTTATTGACCATGAGGAGACTAAAATTCCCCTACAAGTGAAGTGACTTACTTGCTCAAGACCACACAGCTTGTGAGTGGCAGAGATGGGGTAGGAAGTGGGTCTCCTACTGTCCTTCCAGAGATCTGTGCACTGCCCTCATTTGGGTACTTATATCTTCTGATTCTTTTATAACCCCAGAAGGGGGGTGCCTTAGCTTCTTAGTAGCTCTGCTGGCTCCTCTGCCCATCTCCAGGCATGTGTTTGAGCTTTATTGGGAGACAATCTTAACATCCAACTGTTACTTTCCACTCCCACTGTGAGCATCTGCTGGCTTTAACAGGGCCTCCATCCTGTACCTCCTGCTTCCGGGAGGCTCCTGCCCTACCTTCTTGATCCCTGGTATAAACGCTCCAGTCCTAGCCTCCCAGGCTGGGGCCAGGTGCCCTCTTTGTTCTTTGTCCTCCGGCCTCACGGGGTCACCCTCACTCCCAAGCACTGGCTCTGCCTTGGCTTCTCCTTGGTCTCTCCCAGCAAGCCTTTCCTGTCAGGCCAGTTGTCAGCTTCTGTTTCCAGGTTGGGGACACTGGTCTCTGCCTCTCACAGCATGAAATCTAGCCTGCCTGGCCTGCCTGTTTGCATGTGTCCCCTCCTTGCTTAATGGTAGAGACCGCTATGGATCATTTCCCATCATCCATGGGGTCCAAACAGCCCTAAACTCTTATAATTTCATCTGGCCTGATCTCCACATTTTCCTTCCCTGGGCCTGTGGGTTGGATCCGTTGCACCATAAGGAATGTCTCCTAGGACGAGAGACTGCAGCTTCCAAGCCAGGGCCCTGGAGCATTGCTGTTTCACCCCCATTTCTTGGCTCCTTCCCCAGAGGCATTCCCTGGCTGTCCTGGGATGACGCTCCCACAGCTGGAGGTCCTCCCTCGGGGGGTCTGTGCTCTGGGTCCGGATGCACTTCATCTGGGCCAGGGTTATATTTTTGTACTGAAATCTAAAGCTGTTTTTAAAAAACACTTTCACAAAATAGTTCTTCGTCATTACGTTATTTACTCATGTGTTTGTACATTTTTGCATGTTAATTTACAAATGACTTTTTTCAGTAAAAAAATACATAGTCAAGAACCAAACAAATTTTATGTGTGTTTGTATTTGTCTTTAGCTTCATCCAGCAACCTTACCCAGTCACGACAGGCCCTCTCCGCTCTGCAGCTGTGTCCGGTCCCAGGGTAGGCCCCAGCCGGAAGTCCTCTTCTTCGGTACAACTGTGTTGCCAAGTGTACAGAGGGAGATGGGGAGACACCTCCCAGAGACCCAACCCCGCATCCTGACACTCCTTGGCATATAGAACCAAGAAACTGAGCTTGCTGCTTCCAGAGGAGCCTATAGTGGGGGTATTTAGGGGAGGATTTCTCTGTGGGTGCCCTTGCCCACCTCCAACTAGGACTGGCACCTTTAGAGTCAGAGACCCTGACCCGCCTTCCAGTAGAACACTATTGCTGGGGGAAGAGCATCCTCGATGGTCTTTTACTGCCATCCTCCTAACACTCCAGCCCTTCAGGGTAAGGTGCATAAACTGGGAAAGAAGGAAGAGCCTTCTGCTTGACAGGATACTAGCAATAGCATCAGGAAGATTTGATGTCAAAGTCAGATTCAACCAATCTCACTTCTGTACATCAGACTCACTTCTGTGCATCAGTGTGGGGATGGTGCTAAGTCAGGGCTCTGGTAGAATCCCCAGGGTGCCATGGAAACCACAGCTGAGCAATGCCAAAGAGCTGCTTGAAGGTCTAGGTTATAGACAGCAGGCTCTGTGAATGGCAGGCCTGCTTTCCTCACTGGCAGTCTCACCTTCTCAGACCTGCTGCAAGTCCAGTGGGCTTGGAGCTGCCCAGCTATCATTTGCCATCATTGGTGCCTGGAACACAAGCCAGGAACTTTGGAGCTCTTTACTGGGAAAGGCAATGCATAGCTTCAGAGGTTACAAGTTCTTGGCGAGGAAGATGAGAATAAGAATGTGAGGGGCCCTATCCTGAGGTAAAGGGTTTGGATTTGGCCGAGCCATTCCCAAAGGGAATAATGGTAACAAGCCATCAGAGTGTGATGCCAGTTGCCTCATCTCCACTGTAAAAACTGACCACTCTCTCCCCTCCTTCAGACAGAAGGTACCCAGCACCAAAAGAGAAAAGTAGTAGTCAAGACAGGCCCCTGACAGAGGCACATGGTCTCTCAGAAGCCTCCTAACTGACAGAATATTTTCCCAGCCAGAAATGAAATGTCCTGGTGCCAGCTGCCCTGAAAAGATCAATGGATGACAGCCCAGACATGGCAGGCCCAGACAGCAGTGGGTAAGACATGGGTGGGTAGCAGAGCAGAATCACTGCTGCCCTTCTCGAGCCCGGGGGTCCTGACAGAGGTGGTCTTTCCACAGTGGGCATGGAACACAACACCCTACTCTTGGGTCAGGAGACCTGGGTGCTAGTCTCCCCTGCAGCTGCATGGCCTTGAGCAAATCCCTGGCTCAAGGTTGGTAAAGAATCCTATACCTCATGTCTGTAGGTGGCATTAAGCACGCTAGGAAGCGAGGTGCTGTTTTTGTCTGCAGTGACAGATGGGGTCTTTTAATGCTATGATCTCCCATTAAGACAATGACTCACATCCATTTGTCTCCCCAAATCCTCACAACCCTGTGAGTGATCATGCCAGAAATCATTTATTTTTAAACAGATGAGGAAGCTGACACACGCAGAAGGCAGGTGACTTGCCAAAGATCAGTGGGGAGCAAATGGCAGAGTCTGGGCTATAGCACCCCACCTCAGACTCTTTGCCTGGTGCTCACTCCATGGTCTCTTTCTCGGCAGCTTGTCGTGCACAAGAGGAATAGTTCTTCCTGGAGTTCTATTCCTCTGCCAACCAACAGAAAAAGAGACTCCGTAAAACTTTAAACCTTTAGGCCTAATCATTGTTCTACTTTTAGAGTAACTAGGCCCATTTCCTGCCCTTTGAAGAAAATCAGGAGGAAAATAATAGTCATAGTGCCCTCAGTGAAACCTTCGCTTGAGGTAACTGAGGAGATTTTGGTTCGTGGGCTCCATGAGTTGCAGAACGAGGGAAAATTAGAAAGCTTCTTGGAGAATCCTTTCAAAGTTCCATCCAAAGCTTTCTGCTATGCTGATATCCTTCATTCCCCAGACTTTTCTCAGAGAGAAAAAGTGTTGTGATGTCTGGGCAGGGCCCAGAAAGCCCAGGACTGACACCTGGGCAGGACAGTGACTACAGCAGGGCCAGGAAGACTCACAGCAGATGTGAGTGGAGGAGGCCTGGGTACAGGTGCGGTAAGGACAGCCTCTCAGGACCTCTCGGGGAAGGTCCAGCGAGGTGAACATTCAGGATAAGGAAGGCCCAGGAGGGAGTGAGGCTTCCTTCTGCTCACGGGGCTAAGGCCCCAGACAGGATTCCAATGGAACAGGAGGAGCAGAGGGCATGAGATAGAATTCCAGCTCCTAAAAATCAGGCAAGAAACTAAGGCAAGATTCTGGAAAAGAATGGAGAAGAGGTGTCGGAATGAGTTCGGTCAAAAAGAAACAAGTCAGGAGCCTGCACAAAGAATCAGAAAGGACGTTGGGCCAGCAACTGGTGACTGGTGACGATCTAGTACAGTGCTGACACCGGGGCAAGTGTCTAAGTACTCTCACAGGGCTGAGCCTACAGACCGGCAGTAGGTCCAACTGCAGGAGAAAAGATCATTCAGCAGACTCCTTTAAAACTGATCTTTCCCATTTCTTAGTTCTCTCTCTCTCTCTCTGCAGGTTAGCCCCTGGTATATTTGCACAGGTGTGCAAGCACACACAAATATTATTTAAGAGGCCTTCTGATACTTAGTAGCACAATCCTGAATAGAAAAAAATTCTCTTTTATTGAGTCTTGCTGATTGCTTCTTCTGGTTTCATGTGTTCTGACATTAGAGATCCCAGATCTAGCATGCTCTCACACCAGATTTAAGCTAGTCACATAGTAAGCCACCTAGAATTTCAGCAGGTAATACCAATGAGTGAAGCAGCCCAGGAGAAGTAATAGGGAATGGTAGAGACTGTGATAAACTGGCGAACTTGTCTCAGAGGGACAGTGACAGCTCCAGCCAGCCAGTCCAGTGTTGCCAGAGCTTCTTAAAGAAAAAAGAAGGAAAGGAAAAGAAAGGCAAAGGGGGAGAAAACAGGGGGTAAAGGGGAAAAGGAAAAAGAATGAGAATATTTTATAATAATAATGAGAAAGCTTTATAATTCTAGGCAGTTCAAACAAAACTTGGTTTTGTGGGCAAGATTGGCTCACAGCCCCAAATTGCAATGTTTGCTTTACCCTTTTCTTTCCCCTTAAAATTGTATTTGGGTCCTGGATCTATCTTAGAAACTGTGGGAGGGGGAGAAGAGAAGTCCCAACAATAGACCGATAGTGGCCATTGGCATCTCAGGAAAAGGCCGAGGAGGAGGAGCAGGTAAGGAAGCTGCTACTCCAGCGTCCGTCTTAGTTTGCCATTGTTCCCGTAACAAACTGCCAGAAGCGCGGTGGCTGAAAACACTTTACAGTCTTCAAGTTCTTTAGGTCAGAAGTCTGACCCGAGACTCATCAGGCTAACGGCAAGGTGAGCAGGACCGCCTTCCCTTCTGGGGGCTTAGGGTGGATCATTTCCTGGCTCATTCAGCCCTTGCAGTTGTAGCGCTGAGGACTTGTTTGCTCCCTTGCTGGGCTTGTTTCAGCTTTTCTTTGCCTCATTGAAAAAGCCTCAACTCCTTAGGGCACATACAAGACCACTGACAATTTGACCCCAGTCTAGGTTTCCAGGTTCATCTCTCGCTTCGTGCCCCCATGCGTTCCATCCTCCAGAAACGTGCTTGTCTAAATTGCCCCCTGGTGATATGAGACCTCACAATGGTCAAAGCTCTTGGTTGTCTCCTCTCTCCTCCCGCCCTCTTTTTGTTTCTACAACACATCTGTCCCCCTCTTTGGAGACACTTGTCAGTGTATCCGCCTCACCTACTAGACTATATACTTTTGTAGGGCAGAGAGCTTGTCCTACTTTTCTTTATGCCTCTAATATGTCACACAGTGGCATGCAGATAATAGCTGTCCCATAAACATGTATTGAATGCGTGAATGAGCAAATGCTTTGCTAGATGCTGGGAATGTACTGGAGCCAACAGAGTGGGAGTGTGTGCCAGCACCCACCTTACAGGCAGTGAGGCTGACTTCACAGAGGAGACAGGGCTAGTTACTAGAAAATCAAATCAGTACTCAATGACAATGGTAACGAGCACAATAGTGAAGAAATACCAGATTTTCCTTATGAGATTTTATGTTCCAATGATCCTTGATGCTTTAAGAACTTTCTGTTTTTTCAGGAAGCTCATACAACCCATTCAGACTAAAGAAGGACAGAAAGAGGAAAACAGAGCAAGAGAGAGAGAGATCTGCCTTCTACCTTCAGGAGCCTTTTAAGTTACGTGTGTCAGGGAGTGACATGAAATCTTCGCTTTCTATAGAAGTAGGAAAAGACATCTGTCCCTCATTTTGTGTGCCTCCATCTGATCCAGTGTCACCAAAAGGAGGGGCGGCTCATGAGTGCAGCACCTCAGGGTGCCAGTCCCCACCCCTACATCTCAACCAGGCCTGCAGATCATTAGCCAGAATAAAGGATGTCTGTATTCACAGTCTGTAGGCCTCCAATTATCTTCTTAAAGAAAGGGGCAGAGGGAAGCAATATGTTGCTCCCCAGAGGACTCCTAAGGTCACTTCCAATTCAAGAGATTAGTGGAAACACTACTTCCCACCCTGACTCAAGAGCATGGGCCAGCCTCTACATGAATTCAGCCGCATCGAGGCTCTGCACATGGACCCTCCCCTGACCAACAGAGGCCAGGCCAGGAGGCTCTGCCCCCATTCCTTCAGGACTCAAGGTTTTCCATGAGGCAGGCTGGTTTTGAATCCCACCTCACTCCTTAGTAACTCACAAACATCAGAAATTACTTAACCTTGCTGAGTCCAGCACCCTCGAGTGGGAAATGGAGATATAATGTCTACCTCATAGGGGTGTTTAAAGACTAAGTTGCAATATCGTCCAGGGCTAGAGACAACGCTGGGGGCAGGAGTGTTGGTTGTTTCCTCTCTTTCCACCTTTGCCCTAAACTTCTTTCCAGAATATGAAGTGATGGACGAGGAGAGGTACGGTTGAAGAGTTAAATCCTGAGAAAATCCTGAATGCATTCCCTCCAATATGATACATGATTCCTGGGGGTTGATTGGCCAGGCATCCACAAATCTACTTAATTCCTAATATGTATACAGTCATTTGGAGGATTTCTCTAAGTTATATATTTACTATTAATAGTAAGTAAAAAGATCACTTCCTGTGCCCTCTACATGCACACCTATATCCCCCAACAGACACTTCAAAATATTTGTTAACTCTTTATTGAGCACTTACTATGTGATAGCCTTAGAATGTTTTTGGTTTTTTATTTTTTGGAAGCCAGACATTATGTGCTTGGTAAAAGGAACTGGTAAATAGGCGTTTGTAAGGTAGTGGTACGGTGTGTGTGCAGTGGGGGAGTACTCCACAGTCTTCAGGTCAGGTCCTAGGCTTTGGGTGAACCTGTGCTGCTGCGCTGTTGGTTTCACAACTGCCTCTCGGCTTTTCCTTTTCTTCACCTGCTTAGGTGGTACAGGATGGCCAGAGCAGGTGGGGGTGGCTCTTCCCCTTCCTCTGGTGGGGGATGGCCCAATGATGATAAAACCTCAGTAGATTAGGGTTTTCATCTTGAGGGCAGGCCTTTTCACTAGTGCAGGTCAAAATGATGACTTTTGCCTCCCCTTGCTGGAAGCCCAAGGGGATTTTTCTTTGATCTTGACTGTGAAAACCTACTGGAACTGGAGGTAGAACCCACAAAGAGTGAGGACCCCACCCCCCATGACTGAGCTCCGCTGGAGTTTTTCTCTCTTACACGTGTCCACACTGAACCTCCAGCAGTTTGTCGGTACTGCTTCTCACTGAGGTGGGTTTCTGCTCTGGTAAAGCTGGGATTCTCTCTATTTAACTATCTGTGTGTCAAGTTTGGGAAGCAGCAGTTTTGCTCTGTGGCCTCACTTCTGTGACAGATCTAAGAAGAGTTGTTGATTTTTCAGTGTGTTCAGTTTTTCC